GGCAGCAGAGCTGGTGAGCAGTGCTCAAGTCACCTGCAGTGGGTGGAGAACAGCTCCTCCAACCCCTTTTCCAGCCCGGGAGGTGCTGGTGGATGCTGCCGGGAGTCTTTGCTGCAAAATGCTACTGCTGCCTCTGTGACTGTGATCTTATCTCACCCAGACAAAGTGCACAGCACTCCTCGGTTGTCCTTACAAGGAGCCTTTTATTTTCAGTCTGTCTGGAATCGAGCCTTGGCTCAAGGTGGCTGGGCTGAGCTCTGCAGGACGAGGACGGCAGGAGCAGAACAAGGGTGATTTCCCACTTGCCAGCCGGGATTTGTGATGTGCCACGAAGGAAGATCGAAGGAAGACCCACAAATCCTCCTCCTGCTTGGCTTTGTCTCAGCCCAGGGCTGCCTGCAAACTGCAGGCAACGGGAGAACAGCTGATGAGTTCACCACAGCCACCCTTCCCGGGTACCTACATTAGCATAACAATTACAGCCCCAGAGGCTGTAAGGAGAATACAGGCTTTAAAAAATAAACTAGAATTTAACAGAGAAATTAATAGCGTAGCAAATTGTGGCGCTGAGCGTGCCGGCTGCGTGTCAGGCTCGAGCGCCAGCTGTACGTGCAGCCCTGGCACAGTTGGATTTCCAGACCTTCCGCTGCATTTGGCCATCATTTCAGTATCTACACTTCCATTTCCTGGGGAAAGAGCCTGCCGGGCACCACTCCTGCTGCCACTTTCCCCAAAAACCTGGAGTGTTTTGTGCCTGTTGCGGTTTCTCCGCAGCCATGGGATGTATTGGCATTAAAGTGCTGGGCGATGGAAATTAATTTATGGCAGTGATAGCCATTAGAGCTGCTGTAGTCCGAGTCTTGGAGTGGTTTTGGTTATAAATCTTGATTTTTGAGGGCTTTCTTATTTAGTCATATATAGCTGAGCTATCAAAGCAGTTGGTAAATGCCAGCACTGGGTGCTTGCTGTGACCTGCAGTGATACCAGGGGCGAAGCAAGAGCAGCTCGCTCTCATCTTGTCAAGCACAAAACAGCTTCAGGAACACCCTGGCTGGTGAGCTGGAAGCTGTGGAGTCCCGTGGAACGCTGCTCACAGCCTTGAGATCAGCCGGATGTGCAATGGTTGTAATCCGAGATGCGGGTGATGCCTGGGAAGCCGAGGGTGTCCCCAGGACGGGCTGATGCATTCCTGTGCTCGTGGTTGTTGCACCAGGATGTTGAACTCACTCTAATGGCATTTTTTGGTTCAAACCCTCTGGAAAAGCAGCTATTTTGGTGGCTCTCTGTGCCAGCGGTGACCATGGCTTGTCTGGGGGAGCAGCCAGCACTGATGCCAATAATTCCTTTGGCTCTTTTTCTGACTGAGTCAGATCACTCAAGCATTAACCTTAAAATAGCAACTATTTTTTGTAGTTGATATAATTAATCTCCTCTGTGTGTATGTTCCTTCCCTATTCCAGGCTCCGATGCTTCACCACTCCCCTGCTGACCCACTCCTGCTTTGGCACAAGAAAACTCTGAGCAAAACTTGGCTTTTCCACAAAAAAAAGCACGAACTACAGGCTGTGTGTGCTCTGCTGCGTGAGTTCACTGCCAGGCTGGTGCCTCCAGTCACAGATTCCTCGCTCATGTGGTCTGTTGGTTTTGGAGCATCTCCTCGATCTGTTTTTGGGTGGGTGGATGTGGAAGGGGGATGTTCACAAGCTGCCAGGGCTGGGGGTGACACTGGCCACGAAGACAACCGTGATGGGCGGGTGGGTGGATGTGTGGGTTTCGTGATGCAGAAGGAAAAAGCGGTTTGGAGAAGCCTGAAGCCTGAGCGGACCCCGTGTGGAGCCTCGTCCAGCCCTGGGAAGGGGAGGAGCGAGGAAGGGGATGGGATGGGCTAACCAGCGTCCATCCCCTGCCTCTCTTCTCCCTTTCCTGGGGCAGCTCCTGCGCCAAAGCACATCTGAGTGCAAGTGTGCCATGCTGGACACTACCCCTGCCCCAGCTCCAGCCGTGCCAAGGTGGGATTCAGTGGGTGCTGTGCTTGGGCTGTGCGACACCAATGATTTTTTAGGTCTGAGAACATCAGCGAGGAGGATGAAGGGGGAAAGAAAAAACCATCTGTGATGAAGCACAGAGTGAGCACATGAGATCAGGACAGCCTGCACCTCGCTGCTTGCATGCAGTGCTATTCCCACGAGGCAGCTGCAATCCTGGCAATTAAATCAGGAAGGATGCGTTGGGGAAAGCCCCCGTGATGGCGTCTGAGGCTGCTGATTAAATGTGCACAGCCTGGTGAGCCCACGTGGAACAAATGGCTGCATGGCTGAGCCTGACAGACTTGCTGTGTCCTGGGCAGAAAGAACTCCGGGGTTTTATTAAACACTTTCAAGCAGATACCCGAGGAAGGAAAAGCTTTCTGCAGACACACACTCGGCTGTGCAGCCCACACAGCTCCCAGCTTTTACAGCCAGAACGTGCAGCATGGGATCCATCCCAACCTCCAGCGCTGGCGTGGCAGGAGGAGTAACAGCTTCCCTTGGAGCAGGAACCCGCTCTGACCAGGCAGCAACAGCAAATATTGCCCAGGGAATGCTCATTTCCATGGCTGCACTGTGTGGATCAGACAGCGGAAGCCCTGCAAGCACACGCTGCTTAATCAAAAAGCCAGCCCGGGTCACGCCTGGGCTGGCTCTGAGCTCGTCCTGCAGTTGCTGGTGGTGTGAGATGCGAGCAAAGCCTGAGGTCTGTCTTGGAAGAGAAAGCCAGGGGCATTTATAAAGCAAAACTACTCTCAAGGAGTGGCGTGCAGTGGATTTTCCTCTGAGCAAACAACCCGGCTCCTTCCCGGGCACGCTGACCACATTCAGCTGGGCACGATTGTTTTGTGTCCCAGTCGCTGTTCAGATTTCAATCCTGTCGGCCCCAGGAGTTTTTCCAGGCTTGGGCTGTGTTTCTCTGCCTGTAGAAATGTCACTTCATTCTAGAAAATGTCACTAGGGTTGTTATTTAAACAGTAATAGGGTTAAAGTTAATAATTGGGAAGTGAAAGTGACTGGCTTGCATAGTTTCCGATTACTTTTCTCCTCTCGTCTGTGTGATTTGAGTTCTCTCCTCAGCATTTTGCGTGAGGGAGGCAGAGTTTTAAATAGAATTAAATCCTTTCAACATGAGTTTTGCAGCAGCAGAGCCTGTGCTAGGATGGCTGTGCAGTGCAGGGAAGGTCTGGGACCTCGCTGGCCCCCCAGCCGGGCACTGACAGGTCATGCTCTGCACACAAAAGGACACCCCTGCTGCGTGTGGCTGCAGCCCAGGGAGCACAGATGAAGGGAAATACTGCAGAAATTGGAGTTTTGCTGATGGGCAGCAAAGAAGGGGCTACACAGGGTGTTTTTGCAGCACATTTGGGAGCTAGACTGGAATCTGAGGCCTGTTGGAGTCGCAGGCAGGCCTTTGTCCCTAAAAGCCATGCAAATGCTGGAAGCGACTGGGAGGGATGCTGCAGGGGAGACACGGCCTGACAGAGCTCTGCCTGCCACGTGCTGCCAGTCCCCTGTGCTCAGTGCCATCCCTCCAGCTCATCCCCAGGCTGTGCTGCTGCTGGGACGTGGTGATGGTGTTTTTATCCTCTTCTGCCTTAATGAGCTCGTTTGTGTGAGGCTGGGTAATGGAGGACGAGGCGTTTCAGAAACATCCACTTGGGGAATGTATCCCTGGAGAAGTGAGTGTCAGGCAACGTTTGGCTGGTTAAAAACAATAAAGGTGCAAAGAGCAGTGCTGTGTCAGCTGTGCTCCTCTGTGTCCTCTGCAAACACCCCATGTGTGTTGTGTTGGGCTCCCCACAGCCCCACAGACAGGTTTTGCTGTATCCAGGCACAGATTTTTCCCCCTCTTTGGTTGCTACCACGGGAGTCCAGGCATGCCCAGGCAGCTCCAGCAGGGCCCTCATTGCAACACAGGCAGGAAGAAAAGTGTATTTATCGTGTGCATCAGTACAGCTAATGACTGCACACAGACACCGAGCTGCTGTGGAGGCACAAAGCCCTGCATGGGTTTGAGGTGGGGAAAAGCCGGGTGCTGCTGCTTTTAACACTTGTATGGTTTCCTGGCTGCACCACAAACCCGCTGTAGGCTGGATCTGTGGGGCTTTTGAAGTGATTGAACTTCTTCTCTCTATGTACACATTGCAGAGTGTGTGAAAGCTCAGAGGAGCCCTGGTGTGAGAGAATGGTAAAATCACAGAAGGGTTTGGGTGGGAAGGGACCCTAAAGATCATTTAGTCCAACCCTCTTTCCAGGCAGGGAGACCTTCCAGTAAACCAGATTGCTGGCCTTGCACACTTCCAGGGATGGGGCAGCCACAGTTTCTTTTGGAAACCTGTGCCAGGGCCTCACCACCCCCAGAGAGAAGAATTTCTTCCTGATACCTAATCTAAACCCTGCCCCCTGTCAGTGTGAAGCCATTCCCCCTTCCTCCAGCCCCTTCATGACCTTGTCCAAAGTCCTTCTCCAGCTCTCCTGGAGCCCCTTTAGGCACTGGAAGGGGCTCTAAGGTATTCACAGAGCCTTTTCTTCCCGGGCTGAACAAACCCAGCTCTCAGCCTGAACATCCTGAGTGGAAAGGGACCCACATGGATCTGACTCCTCCACGTGGGGAATAAACCCCTCTTCATCTGGGGAACCCAGGGGTTGGAAAATGCTTCTACAACTGGAGGTGTTGATGTCCCACCAAGGTCACCCCCGGACTGCGAGCTCAGCCTTGCTCCAGGCTGTGTTCCACCGCCAGCCCCCCTTCTCCTCATCCCCCCGCTGCCATCAGCCCCCCCCGGCAGGACCCCGATTCCCGACATTTCCCTCCGAGTGTTTCCGCCCATCCCTGCGGGGCGGCTCGGGGGGGTCCCGGCGGCGGGGCCGCTCTGGAATCCCCCCTCCCTCGGGGGTCCTCCCGCCTTTGGGAGCGGCGGGGCCGTGCGGAGCCCCCTCCCCATCCCCATCCCCATCCATCCCCATTCCCGGCGGAGGGCGGGGAGGGCGCGTGGAGCCGCGGACACGCACACGGACACGGACACGCACACGCAGCGCGGCCCCGCAGCGCGGCTCTGCGGCCAAACCCCGCCAACAAAGACCCCTCCGCCCCCCTCGCCGCCGCCCCCCGCGGGATGTAGCCGGGCCGGGAGCCCCAGCGAGGCAGCGGCCCCGCCGCTCCGTGCCCCGCAGCGAGGCCGGGAGGCGGCGGGCTCAGAGGCGCTGCCGCCACCATGGGCAAATCCAACAGCAAGTTGAAGCCTGAAGTTGTGGAAGAGCTGACCAGGAAAACGTACTGTGAGTGCCCGGGGGGCTGCCGGGGGGATGCCGGGGGTGCGATGGGGTCCGCGCTGCCGCCCGGCCCCGCCGTCCCCCGGCTCGGTGCCGCGGCGAGCGGCGGCTCCTGCGGGGCCGCTCCCGGGGAGGGCGCAGGCTCGGCCGGGCTTTGTTGGAAGAATTCAGGGATTGGCCTGGGAGGAGGAAAAAACCCATAAGGCAGCAGAGACACGGAGAGGGGCAGCGAGCCAGGGGAACGCGCTGGGTTTTTTTACAAAAACCATCCTCCGTGGCCTATTTCTGAGCCTCCGGGAACGGCGGGGCCAGGGCCGCATCCTGCCCGCGGAGCATCGCGCCCTCCCCCGCCGCCCCCCGGCCCTGCCCCGAGCATCCTTCCCCCGTGCCCGGTACCCAGGGCCCGCCGCGGGGGTTGAGCTCCCCGCGCTGCCTCCCCGGAGCCCGGCAGCAGCTCCCGGAGCGGGGTGCCGAGCCTCTGGGTGGCTTCCAAAGTTTGGGTGCGTTAGTTGGAGGGGTTCCCTTTGTTATTGCGCTCTGAAGTGGAGAGAAGAGCCCGACACCGGCGAGTTCGATATTTATCTGAGTATCTCAGTATCGGTTTAATAACCTGATTTTCTGAACGAGTGGCTTTCCCGTCTGGACCTCCACCGTAATCTAATTAACGTGGCTGGTGCCTCAGCCATCCAGTTTTAGCAAAATCATTTTTTTCCCTGAAGGATGCACAAAGGAAACGAAGGCTTTGGTGGCTCAAGTTTGCCTCCCCGCTCTCAGGTCGCAGATATTCCCCAAACGTGCAGCAGACCTGCGAGCTCTCCCCGCTGTCATTGCTGCAGTCCCACGGCAGCGCTTACCCAAAAAGGCAATAGATTAGGATGCAGCAAGTTCTCCCATATGGAGAAGAGGCAATACTGGTGCATTGCACAACCCTACACGCGGGGCTGCTCTGTGCCGTGGCACAGCCGGCAGCGGGCGGCAGGGCAGGCGCCGGGGGCATGTCCGCATTGCCAAGCCGCCTGTGATGGTGGCAGAGCCTGGGCTGCCCCGGCTGGGCTTCCTCGAAGTGCTCGGGGGCAGGAAGGCGTGGGAAGGTGGCAGTGCCAGGTGGGCATGGCCCCCGCTGGAGCCGAGCTGGGTTTGGTGTCCTCACTGCAGCTGTCGCCCACGGCGAGGCAGCCGCGCCGGGCCGGTGCCGGCGGTGCCGTGCTGCAATCCCCGCGGTTCGCAGCCGCTCTGCCCACCTGATCTCCCATGGAGAGGAACCTGGGAGCTGCCAGCCCCAGCACAGCCCTGTGTGCTGGTGATCTCCCGTGTGCTGGGCTTTCTGCACACCCGGGGTGGCTCCTCTGCCCAGGAAGGTGCTGGCACCAGTGGGGCTGACGCGGGGCACACAGGCAGTGGTGCCCATGTCTCACTGGCAGCCAAAGCCAGCCAAACACAGCGCTGGTGAAACCAACATCTTTGGGCACAGGGATGTCTCTTAAGGTCAGCAGGTCATTGCTTTTTTGAATCACTTCATTCCCAACTTTCTGCTCCTCTCTTTTGGGTGCCCTCCCCTTTCTACTGCATCCTTCCCAAGAAAGATTGTGGTCCTCTGATCCCTCCCTCAATGAGTTTCCAGTCTGTCTGGAGACTTTCCTGCCTGCTCTGGACCTCTCACTGCCTCTTTTCAAAGATTCCTGTACCTGTGCAGGTGAGGCAGCAGCACCCAGCAGCACGTGGCCTTGTGCGTGGCTGGAGTCTGGTGCAGCATCCCAACGTGCCCCAGCAGCATGTGGCTGCTGTGTGGTGCCTGTCAGGGAGAGCTGTCACTAATTCCAGGGTCTGTTTGTTGAGCTCTGCTCATTCCACCTCTCATCTCTGGGATTAATTACTTTTGCTGTGTGCCTCTGCCCCTTTTCTGCAGCTGTCAAGGCGAGCGTGCATTCCCTTGTCTGGTGAAGACTTTACAGGGCCCTCCCAGGCACAGCTGAGAGCCTCTGGTTTATCTTCAGACCATGGGAGATTGGAAAGATCCCAATTTCCTTCTGTGTTTTGGGGAAGCCAGGCAGAGGAGAGGCAGGTAGGAGGGCAGGGCTGCACTGGGAGGAACTGATCCAGAGCCCTGTGCTGTGGCTGGTGGAACAGCAGGAGCAGGGGACAGTCTTACACACAAAGCCATGGCCTGCTCAAGAATTTCTGGGGGCCTGCTTGGAAAAGGTTTTTTCTTTCCACAGCATGTTGATATTTAGGCACGTTTCTGGCAGACACACAGGAGAGCATCCCTGGCCTGTGCTGCCTGTCCCATGTCCTGCCACATTGCTGAGCAGGTGCTGTCCCTGCCTTGTGTGTCCCTGCCTTGTGTCCCTGCCCTGGGCAGATGTCTCTAGCAGCCCAAGCTGATGGCAGCCTGCATTTCTCCCAGGGAGGTTCCCGTGGCAGCCTGAGCCGTGGCTGTGGTACGTGAGGGGCTTCTCCCACGCTGGGATTTCCTTCCATTGCATCATTTTCTGCTTGTGTGGATTTCCACACAGAACAAATACCAAAAAGGCCCCTCTGAGTTCTGCAGGATCAGAGGGAAATGTCACCCCCTCTCCTTGCCCCACATGGCTTTTCTGCTAATTTATCTCCTCCATGGGACACAGAAGACATCTGCTTCCCCTCAGTGCTCTTCAGTGCCTGGTGGCTTCTTGTGTCCCTTGTCCTCTCTGAGCTCTCCATCTCCTATTTGTGGTGTTTCTCTGGCCTCGCCTCAGCTGCAGCAATCCTGGGAAAAGCAGGAGATGGGAGCAGGCAGGAGAGGAGCAGGGAGGGCTCAGGTGCCAGGGCAGCTGTGGGCAGGGAGGCTGAGCTGAGGATGCCGCAGGGCAGCCGTCAACGGCCTCCGTGAGCTGCAGAAATATTTTCCTGTGTGCATTCAGAGCAGGCTGTCCCAGGCCCTGCTGGGAACTGGACATGGAAAGGCAGGAGCCTGGAAACCTCATCCCTTGGCTCCCCTCCCCACTCTGCTCCCGACTTCCAGTGCTGGGGGCCAGATTTTAATGGCACTTGGACACCTAAAGGCGCAGAAGGGCTTCTTTGAAGCGCCGGCTGCCCAAGTCCTGTTGGTTTGGACCCATCTCCGTGTGCCTTTCTGTGTCTCTGGGCACCTGAGTGCCCAGGAATACCTGGCAATGCCAAGCTCCACCGTCTGCCAGGTGCTGGAATAGTGCTGGTGGGGACAGCCAGGCTGCAGGGCTGTTTTACCCTCCTTGGAGACCAGGCTGGTGCCACACAGGAGCGTGCAGGAGAAGTCAATGTGGAGTGATAACAATACTGAATAATAAATTATGTAATTCGTTGTGCTTTCACAGATCCTGTCATTGAAAAGTGCTTAATAATGATTAATTTATTAATCCTTCTGATGCCTCGTTGGGGTAGCTCAGAGATGCAGTTTGGTGGTGTGTCCTAGGAGGTGATAACTCCCGAGACTTTTAGGAACCACCGTCCTCCCTGGATCACATCCTCTTCCGTGGGGATTTAAACCTGAGCTTAACTTGGGCCAGGTGCTCACGGCTTAGGGCCACAGTAGGATTTGGGATTGTGTTTAAGAACCTTGTGGGGCCACAGTCAGAGGGTTCTGCTCAGCTGGAGGTTTATGAAGGTCCTGAGGTGTGACTGCAGCCTGAATGGAGTGTGTGACGTGCACGCCTGCAGTTGTGGGTGCACAAAACATGTCCTGGGTGGAGAGGACTTGCTTTGGGGAGAGAAACTGGGAGAAAAACACAGTTCTGAATGTCCCTACTCACAGCAACATTCCCAGCCCAGGAACCCTTAAAATCACAAAGCAGTTTTAAAAATGAACACTTGTTTCAGAAGAGCACCTTTTAGCTCTTTTTCCCAGTCATTTTGGGGAAGGTTGGCTTTCAGGGTTCCCTGTGCACAGCTCTTGCCCATGTCCAGAAGTGGCTCTGTGTTATTTTTGAGGCTGCAAGAGCTGAGCAATCAGGCATGCTCAGAGCTCTGCCGGTGCAGCAGCGTGGCTCTGGGGCCAGGCTGGGGTCAGCATGGCTGGGGACGGTGCTCCTGCTGCTCCTGAGCCCACAGTGGGGCTCAGGTGAAGGTGTGGGAGCCACGGTGAGGGTGCCAAAATGACAGCCAGGCTGCAGAGTGGGTGCGAGGAAGATGCTCTTTTCCCAAGAACCGCATCCCACCCACTGTGATCTATTTTGTGGATTTTAAACTCACTCCAGCATCATCATTTTCTGCTCTTTCACAATAAGCCACAAAATTGGCTCCATTGCTCGACAGTAATGCAGGGAATTAAAGGGCATTAGTTTAAGAGCAAACTATAAACATATTGATTTGTAGTTACGGGGGTATGTGGTGGCGGGTGGAATTCTCTGGGAAAGGAAAGGAAATTCTACGATTGCAGCAGTTTTCAGCCAGGAAAATGGATTGGTTCCTTGCTGGCTGAGCCAGGCTGGGGCTTTGCTCCATCATGCCCCCCCAGTGCTGAGGAAATGTGCTGGCTGGGGCAGTGGGCAGGAGCAGAGGAGAGATCTTGGTCCTCCCCCCTGCTGCTGGTTTATTTTTAGCCTCAGAAGTGTTTGGCCCCAGGCACTGGGTATCTCTGCCAGGTTGGTTTGTGTTGAAATCCCTCCTGTTGCTCATCCAGCAGAAAGCAGGGTGAGCTGGCCAGGTGGCTACGGACCCGTTATCCCTCAGAGGCAAAGGCTGGGTGAAATTGTCACTGTGGGTGACTTTTAACAGGGCTTGGAGTGACACATTGGGCAGGAATGGCTTCAAACTGGCAGAGAGCAGGGCTAGATGGGATATCAGAAAGAAATTCTTCCCTGTGAGGGTAGTGAGGCCCCCTGGCACAGGCTGCCCAGAGAAGCTGTGGCTGCTCCATCCCTGGAAGTGCCCAAGGCCGAGTTGGTTTGGGCACTGGGGCAGGACGATGGGCAGGAGGTGCCAGAGGGATGCCCAGGGGCTGGAGTTTGTTTGTTTTGCTGCAGCCACGTGTAAGCCAGAGCTGTGCAGGG